TAAGAAAAATTCCAAATATATTTATTTGACTCTAATCACTATGTAGTATTCTAACTTTAAGAAATGATATGGGATACCTAATAATTCTAGGAGGTCCTCTTAGAGATCATTTGGGGCGTAAATGCATGGTGTTTGATCTGTGAGTAGATGAATATACATTTATCAATTCACTGCACTGTGCATGTTGTCTATTTAATCTTTCATCTGCTATGTCTTGTCCTATAAGTGTAATATATATTTGTGACATTATTTTAATATTTGTGAACCTGATTTTGATAATTTCTTATAGCGACTAACCTGTGAGACTATTTCGTTGCTGTCTACTTTAATCCAATGGCATCTCTTAAATTCCTGTTGATGTTTCATCCGTGTGTTATTCAAAAAGTATTGTCTTCATTAAATTTGGAAAACAGTGAAATTACTTTTTAAATGACCACTTCTCATACATTAAAAGAGTCTTTTATCATTAGTTATGCGCATTTTTAACTATAAATGATTATTTAATGATTTCTACTAAATTCCAAGTGTCAGTAAATACCTGGAAACCAGACCTCCCAGTACATTGATTGTCATTGGTGGTCTGCTGGGTTGACTGCTGCCTCATCAACTTTTCCTTTGTGTGTAAACTTTATGGTACAAGCTACTTGAAACCAGATAAGATGAATGTCAGATTTCTAAACTGATATTCTAGAGATCAAATGTTGCGTTTGATTAAACATTTTCTTCAAATTGGTCTGAGTACCACTTCGTATGGGTAGAGCAGGGAAAGACAGTGGCTTTGCCTAGCTTCTGTTATTATAGCTTTATAATCAGACTGCTAATAGGTGAAGGCCAGAAAATAAAACACAGTGTTTTCTTATAGAAACGAGAGACTATTGTTTATTCTCTTTCGTGGTAAGGTTTTCAAGTCTTTGAAGTTCTTAGACTACTCTTAATTATGTATATGATAATTGTCCTTGTGTGTTGGATCAAGGGAACATATGCAGAAAATTTGTCATTTAAATGGTTATAATGTTTCAGTGAAGGAGATAATACTGAAATGCTGCATTAAAACATGTTGGGAATACCCTCTGAGATTTCTTTATTCACAGAATAAATGGGTACTGAATTAAAAATAATTTCAGTGAGCACTCAGTATATGCCAGGCACTGCATTAAGTGCTTTATCTGTTTTTATTTTTAATTTAATTAGGTGGCTTTGAAAGTTGACAATGTTATGTAATTTTGTATTTGGAGCATGAGTTATTGGGGTTAAAAATCTTCATGCAAATTCCTACAAACAAATCAAGCGTGGATGTGCAGTGGCTGGTTTTTAAGCTTAAATATCTCAGCTGGATTTAATTACCTTAAGGGATAAGGCTACACGATGGGCCAGTGGTTTACCAAATTATTTTTCATTTCTGGATCCCGGTGTCACTGAAGGTTAATGCATCCTCTTTTCTCTGCTAGAGACCCGAGTTAAAATCCATTTTAGGGCATGAGTGTAAATGAATTTTTTGTTGTTTTTCCTCCTTGGGGACAGTTCGGTCATTTTGTGAGGCTTTTTCCATTTGGAGTTGCTGGCAGCTTGCACTGGGCCCAGGGGCTCAGTAGTAGGGGCAGTTAGTTGCAAGTCAGCATGAAAATGAACTGGCAGGCTTCAGAGGGCAGAGCTGGCCCAGGGCTTGCCACTCTTCCATTCCTTGATTCTTTCTCGGTTAACTTAAGGAAACTTATTTGCTACTGACATTTGATTACAGCACATCACAAAACAAGTGATGTGTTTGTGGGTGAGCCGTTGCATTTTCCCTGCCATTTCCGGCTGTTTTGTATGTGGCAGCGACAAAGCTTTCTGTAATCACTGCCCACAAACTCCTGTCTAGGAGATGGGAGTTAGACCGCTGTAGACCTGTGATCAACATTTTTGATCACCAGTGTGTCTCATGGCTTTCATTTTCTGTTGCTTTTGTGTAAATGCTTTATTTTGTAGAAACATGTTTTTATCCATATCTACATTTAAGGGTTTTATACTGAAGTATTAGTTATTACCTTTATCTGTATCTATAAGGCAATATTTAGAAGTATTATATAACCTAAGCAGGGAATAGTCATAGCACATTGATCCTTCAGGGAGCTTGCTTGTGCTCTTTTCCCCTCTGAGTTCAGCTTGTAGTCACCTCTTCCTCTCTCTCTCT